AATATTGTTACTGTGGTAAAAGCAGTAAGTAAGTGGTTATTCTGGAAATCAGTTTCACTATCATAGTTGTCTGCTTGGGAATTGAAGCCAATGATAGTTAATACACATAGAACTATCTTAGCTTTCCAACTACAATACTGCCTCTTATTTACATACAAAAACAGTTACATGACTAGAGAATTGATTTCTACAAACACACAACTTAAAATGCAAAAGATAATAGTGTGCACTCAGTGTTCTCAAAATTTTAAGCAATGGCTTAGATATTACAAAATCACATATACACAAGGAAATAAAGTAAGAATACCCTCTCTGATTCTCTAAACATTAGTGGTATGCTTGTCTCCTAAAACCAAATACAGCAAATTCCATTCTTAGCTATGCAAATACCTTGGATATTATATTCCAATATAAATGCAACCTATTTAACCTGGCTTATTAATATCCTACTCAATATTTGTGGATTCTTACATTTCAAAAAGAATTTCACATGAAACCTCCTTTTTGGCTATTTTGACAAACCACTGAGATAGGTGAGTATAACAAGGGCTATTGCAAGCATCATGAAAGTTACTCATTGTAATTTAATTAGCTTTTTAAAAATCACCTGAATATCTGTCAATGGGTAACAAATTATAAAAAAATTCGTATTTTTTTAAGAATTTAGTAGCAAAGACAATATATAATGTCCCATTTTATCTATCATTCAGATAATTTATCACTAATAAGTCACCAAACATATCCACTGAAAACATACAAACAGCTCTTCTCTCACAAACAGAGTGATGAACAACAGGGATGTAAAAACCATAATGATGCCACATTTTTGGACAGAGAAATAGAACTGGCTGTCTTCAGCACCTCAGAGGCCATCACTAGATTTAGCATGTTGTCAGCTATTCTATAATGTCTTCACAATCTAATATAGAATAGTATCTTCAAGGATGATGAATTAAAAATTATGCAAATAACTGGTTTTTCACGAGGAACTTGAGTTTGTAGTCAGTGTGAATTAAGTACTCAAAGGCTAAACTACTAACAGCAAATTATTACTCCAATGCTTTATGAAAAAGAAAGGACCATGTGCTACGGTTAGATGCTTGTTTTATACTGTTTCCAGTTAACCAACTATTAAAGGGGTCCTTGTATGGATAATAAAGTATATGGCCATCCTTATTTAAGGAGCTTCAGTCATGACTGGGCTTAGAAACATGGCTTCTACCATGAGTCCAGCTTTCAGTTACCTAGGTGTCCTTCTGACTATCCCCTGGTTCTTTTGCATCATTGGTGCAACATATTATATATTATTTGAACAGCTCTCAAAAGCCCTTAAAGAGGTGTTCCTTTTGACAGTAACTAATTCATTTATTCTTTGGCCTCATGAACTTATTAATTAGAACATGTGCAAACAGTGTTGACAGATAGATGATTTTATGTAGCTCATAAACACAAACTGTCATTCTTACCTGCATTATTTTTGAAGTAGACTCTTTTGTTACAGACGTAGAAAAGAAATAATGGTTCATTATTGGGAAAATACATGCCAGCATAGACAATGGTCTCATAAAATGCATTCAACCCAATAATTCATAGACTAAGTATACTCTGAGAGAGTATCTGGACAATATACAGGCATGCATATACCTGCAGATATGCACATACATGACATGTGTATATGCATGTATTATGTGTATGTATAGTGGGGACTAAGTTGTGAGGGGGTGCAAAGGCAGTGCACAAGGCTGTTGAGTTAAAGTCCCCCATTTTATTTGCAGCATGCAAAGAATCCAACATGACTCAGAATATAAATTATAATAGGAATTTTACTGTATTTGTATTTTATGATCACCTCTCTAATGAAACGAAGGACAATTTCTCATATATCATTTTCAGATATTATGTAATATGCTGTAGTGAGAAAAGGCTTTAGACTGGGTTAACCTGAATGTGAGGATAGTTTGAGTGAAGCTAGTAAGTCTGGGAGAGTGCGATTTCTTTACTCTGGGTTGTTTTCTTCTGCTATCTTTTGCTATAGTAGGTCAGTTAAAAAGCACATTAGGACTTAAGAGTATAGTTTGCTTTAATAAAAGTATTGTTACTACTGTTATCCCTGTTCTTCGATATTCAAGTTAGCATTATTCAAATACTTAAGACAAGACCTCACAGAGAATAAATTCATGTTCAGAGTGGGGGATAAAAAAGGATTAATTTATGATTCTCTCAATACACTGATAAACAAATGTGAGTCCTAAGAAGCCTTATTTTATTGCATAAATTTCCTTGGTTTATGAGAGATCCTTAAGGATGATGGCATAAAAAAGGATGTTAGCAGAATTCTGTATGTTGCCAAGATGAAGGGTGATTAAGCTTATTTAATAAAAATCAATGCTACATGGTCTTATAACATTCAGTAAATAGGCAATTTCTTTGCTGACATATGCAAAGTTAATTTTGATGCAGACATTTTTCTATATATCAAGGCAGTATGGAAATTTTCTTCTAGTCACCCAGCTGCTACAATGTTAAATAAATTAATTTTAATCTTAAATCAAAGATGTAATAGAGGAAAGGGTGATTTAATATGCAATCTCATTACATTTGACAGGCTTATTTATAAATGATTTGCTCCACATTTTGACAAGCATAGTTAATATGTTAATTAGCTTTTTAAAACATGATGAAAGGAAGAGACTGACATGCTATCATTTTTCACACACCATCTTGGGGAGCACTGTAATTGATGTCACAAGGTAATGCTACTATATGTTGTGGTAATTCTATATATGTTGTGGCCCACTAAAAGCACTGTGATCTTGATGGATAATTATTTATTAGATCTGGATAACTTGGTCAGCCTATATGAAAAGTTAATCCCTTAAAATTATACAAAGTAACTTTCTGCTTTAGAAAACACATGCAACAATAAACATACTTATGAGCTTCTACAAAGGAATATAAAGTTTATTCAGAGTGATGACCTACCGCAGAGCTCCCTGACTTGGAAGGAACTATCCAGATAAGCTGCTTTTCACATTTGCACATCTCTTAATGTAGTTTTCATTTACTTGGTAAGCCTTTTGGTTTAGAAGCTTAAAGATGATTTCCTATGCCTTGACTTTCAAAGGGTTATAAAATCCAAGAGTTAAGGAAAGTTCTATACCAAACATTGTCCAATGTGATGCCTCTGCTTAAATTCTCTTTCACTGAGGGAGACAAAGGTCTCAAAAACTATCTATCTTGATGAGTTATCAAATCACACAGTACATTCACACATTGCCACAGTGTTGGAGACCCAGGACAGTAAACCGAAACATCATGGCAAACTCTGATTCCCATCACTTTCTCCAGTGTTAATGCAGATGTGTCTTCATTAGTATTTTTATAGTCTGTGGCTATTTAAACAGAAAACTGGAAAGTGTAACACTGTGTAGGGATCGTTAGTTTTTAGTTACTACCCTACTGCCCCAGGATGGTAAATGAACTGTAAAAAGAGCCTGAAACCTCTGCCACCTGCCTCTGCTATTGTCCACGGGTTAATATTTGCTCTTCTCTTCAATGCAGCTGAGCCATGGCTCAATTACAGTCCCAATTCTAGGTCTTTGAAGCTTCCAAAGTACCCTGCATCAACGTCATCTATTATGCAAAAAACCAGTGCCCTATGAACTTCTCACTAACTGGAAAAATATATACATTTAATCTGACTTATGATAAAATAACAAAATGGCTTTTAGAAAAAGAATTGTAATCAAATGAGGTTGACAGTGAGGCATGGCACAGGCATAACTCTGATGTTAGGGCTTGGAAATGGAGCAATAAACATGGGAAAATGCTCAACATAACATACTGACTAGAATCTATTTTTGACAGTGAGTATTTTTGGCAGACAGCCAAGAGGGTTTTGGGGTCTACTATTTTGTATCAGTTTTCTTCTCTTCCATTTAAATAACAGTCCTCTTCTTTATGTTGTCAGTATGTCTCTATGTAAAGCAAATTAGCAGAAAGTACTTCTTAAGAGAATGAGCACACCACACACACAATATACACGAGGAAATGAAAAGTGTTGCGTTGGGGGAGTCAGAGACCGGAAATCAAATACTACATACCAGAAACTTACCTAAGTCACAATTCATGTAACTTTTAGTCCTTTAAAGACCAATTTTACAGGTTTGTGAGGGAAAAGTCACTAGTATATAAAACAGTGTTCCTGGATTTTGAGGGTAGATTCTTAACTAAGCTGCCAAGCACCCAGACAAAACTGGTTCCAAGTCTCAAATATTTCAAAACTATGTTTAATGAGCAGAATCCTTAACTGACCTTCCTGAAACAACCTAAAATTTCCATATGCAAAAAACATAATTACTCCATAATTCAAGAATAACTGGTTAATGATTATTTGCCCGGCCAAATCTCCACTATAAGGCAGGAAGCAGGAAGATAATGAGAAAGGTAATAACTGATATCCTGATGCATTCAATGATCTTTATTTGCAAACTTTTCCTCCACCACACCTAATGATCAAAATATCCAATTTGACCAAATCCTCTCCTTACCTTGGGGGAAAAAACAATGCAAACAGCTATCAAAAAGGGCCAGGAAATGTAACCAAAAAAGGTAAACTACAACTGAATTTAGATCAAAATAGTCAGCCACTTTGAGATTTGCTTTGAATTTAAATGTTTCCCACTACTTCCAACCTATAACATTGTTAAGTACCAACTCCTTTGTTGTAAGGCCAGAAATGAAGACATTTAGAGAGAAAAATCACTCTGAAAAATGTGTCTGCTCTTGTCCATCAAGAATCACTGCCAGACACTGTGTCCAAGGGAGTCTGATTAAGACACATTTCTAATCTGGTTTTTAAAAATGCAGCAGTATTGTCACACACACGCAGATATCCTGCACCATTAATCTTCATCCACACTGCTAGCACGTTTGTCTAGGCTTGACCCAGACTGAGTACTACCAGAGAGATTAGATAAAGTAAAGCTTCCATTTCTCACCACATGTCAAGGCAGGTGGAATATTCTGTTGAGCCCAAAAGAACGTCTGGAGGTCTGTACCACAAGGTAACCACTTCATTGGAGTATGTGTGGCTAGGGACAGACTTTGCTCTTGCAAGACCTGTGGGATAAAGAAAATAAAAATGTGCATTAACAGAACAAGAGAATTTGAATTTGAATGGTCACAGTTGTAAAAGGTCAAATGTGATACTATAATACAGACTTATGAATCCAATGTCAAGGTTGCTAGAAAAGAGGGAATTCATATTGTGATCTACTGTTTCAGATACAAAGCCAACAAATCACTTACATTTCCTAATAAAGCAGCATAAATTTAATAAAATATCAAGAGAATAAATAACAAATTCATTAATGTATACATATCACACAGAAGCTTAGAAAGCTTCTACACTATAGTCCAAAGAATTCTTCCTGGAAATCTACTGAAAATTAGAAATACATATTATGAGAAAGTTCCAAGGTCAGATAACTGGGAGAAAAAAGTTGTTTAAAAAGTTAAACAGTTCAGGCCCTCCCTGGTGGCGCAGCGGGTTAAAGCACAGCACTGAGAATCTGAAGCCACTTCCGCATGAGTTCGATTCCCGCCTGCCGCCTGCCCCGGAGGAGACCACATGGCGGAGCCAGACCTCTCCTGACCCGCCCGCTGCTCCCCTCAGCAGTGTACTTCGTCGATCTGCCTGTTCTGCTCCCCACTCTGTCTCTGGTGAAGCCTCTCACCGCCCCCGAGCCTCTGGCCTGTACCCCAGTTCTGTATGCACAAATAAATAAATCTTAAAAAAAAAAAAAAAAAAAAGTTAAACAGTTCTCCATACTGCCAGAATCCCCAGTATCCATTTTTCTAATGTCCATTGTGAATATAAAAGAAGAGAATATGGTACTTTTGTTAGAGGATTTTCCCCAAACATCTTACCTTTCAAAGGGCTGTTAAATACTAACTAGTCAATACATATTCAAGAAGCTGATCCGAAAACAACCTATATAACTAATAGTGAAATAAATCTCACGAGATCTTAATAATATTTTCTAAAATTTTTTTAAAAGCTAAGGAAATAGTCAAAATAATGTAAAAACTATCTCCAGTTTAACTTCCATCATAAATAACTAAAAAGCAAAGAGATTAGCATAAAATATATTTGAATGTCTTTAGTGGTTAGTTTCGAAATATGTAATTATCCATTTTTTTCATTTAGTAAGTTTTTCTGAGTATTTCTAAAAATTTCTGCTATGAATATATATTCCTTTAAAAACTCACAAAACCTATATATTTTCTTAAGTGAAAAATATCCTTCTGTGGTAGCTTTCTATCTGGGCATGTTTTCTAATGGCAAATGTAAAGTAATGCTTATTAATGTTATGCTCAAAATACACAACATTTTCACAATGAAGTTACCATCCCCTCTTCACTTTAATGTTCCAATTACTTAAATTTTATAGTAGTTAGGAACATGATTTAAAAAATAAATTAAAATTTAAAAAGAAACATGATTTTTTTGCTATTTATTAAAAAAACTTGGCCCTCCCTGGTGGCGCAGTGGGTTAAAGCACTGTACTAAGAAGCTGAAACCACTTCCGCATGAGTTCGATTCCCACCTGCCCCGGAGGTGACCACATGGTGTGGCAGACCTCTCCTGACCCGCCCGCTGCTCCCCTCAGCAGTGTACTTCGTTGATCTGCCTGTTCTGCTCCCCACTCTGTATCTGGTGAAGTCTTTTGCCACCCCTGAGTCTCTGGCCTGTACCCCAGTTCTGTATGCACAAATAAATAAATCTTAAAAAAAAAAAAACAAACAAACTTGATATCCAGTTTCTTATATTACCTGCAAATTTAACAATTATACAACTGGTAAGAAAAAGAATTTCTAATTAATTCAACTACAGTTACAATAAATTTTTCAACAATGAAGTTTTGATAATACAATGGCATGCTATCTTGATTAATATTTATGAGTGTGGCATGTTAAAATTACACTTTATGCACACACAAACATACAAACAAGCACATATGTGGTCCTAAGCCTTTCTAAACAAGATAAAATAGCTCTTTATGACATTCAATTACCATAATAATAATATCTATTTCTTTTTTCATCCAGGTATTCTCTTACATTAATTCAGGTAAAACTGAATAACAGAACAAGAAGGATGGTAAAATGTTTCCAAATTTAGTAATTACCTCAAAAGGTTTAATTCTCAAGCAACTAGGCTTCTACACAAACTAAACAGCTAAGCACAAGTCCCGAAATAGGTTCTGACTTGTTCCATATGCTGTTGTCAAGTCAAATGTGATGCAAAAAATAACATTCACTCTGGATTTCCTTGGTTTTCCAGAGACCTTGTTGACAGAAAGTGAGACCATGAGATGGAACAATGAAAAAAATCTGAGATTTTCTTTGACAGCTTAGAAGACAACCTAGTTATAAAACATTGTGATACTCCTAGTTTTTAAATAAGACTTCAAAATATCCTAGCAATTGTATAAATCTAAATAATTATATGTATTTTCACATTAATTATGCTCATTTTGAATATGAGTTTTTAAAAGTGGCTCAATGTTTCTGGAAAATATGAATAGAAAAAGGCTTTGTCTGTCTATTTTGCCTCCTTCCCACATACTAGGTCAAGGACTGCTTAAACTACACTTACAGGGGCCACATAACATCTTGAAACAAGCATAAAAATGAGTTTTCAGTATCTAAATCTCTCATGTGTTAACACAATTTGTTAAATTTGTATAATTCTAAATGTAATAACTCAATGAAGAATATCATATTTTTGAGATACACTTTTTCACTGTTTGAGAAAAACTCTTACATGATGTTACTTTAATATAGACCATCAATTTAAACATTTTCTTGAGGATAATTTCCTATATACTGATATATAAAATGCTTTCACCTTAAAATACCTTTCTGTTAGATAAACTTTTCAAGAAAGGAACAAATTATTAAAACAATGATTCAAAACACACACACAGAGAGACAAAAAAACGTGTACCTTGAGGTAGGAATATACATTCTAAAAAATATTTTTGGTAAAGATATTGTTATGTATTCATACAGTTCATGCATCAAAACATGCTTATTCATGCAAAATTTATTAAACTGCAACTTCCAGCTGAAGAAAAACTGTAGGACAGGATTAATTAGCACAGCATGTGTGAAAGCTTTCTTTCTCTGTTCCTTGTCAGTTGCTATGGTTACACTACAGGAAGAGAACTACACCATCTTTTAAAAAGGATGAAGTTCATGGGCTATTATCAAAACTTCTTATATTAATGTTTAGTTTGAACTAAAAGTCAAAAAGCAAAGTGAAATGCTAAGTAGATGAGTACAAGTTGCTTGCACACTGATGTTCTGGTTGAGTGTGGATGGGGAGGGTGCATGTTTCTATGGGCACCTAAAATGCCTTGTGTAACAATTCAGAGTAGCCAAACTGAAGGAGTTGCCTTTTCTAACTAATTAAAGGCACTAGAGTAAACAGCACTACTATTCAAGCTCTTTTGCTAAGGATTCAAAGTTGGGTGGCCCTCTACCAGTTACCATAACAGATTCTTGAATTTCCAGAAAATTTAAGAAGCTTTATACTTAACCTCTTACCCAACGAAAGAATTCCCCTTTAACATTTCTCTAAGATCCAACATCTGGCAGGGACAGAATAAATCACAAGAGGGTGCTTCCAACATTTTCTTGAAGCAGAAACCAACAAATGGAAATTCCTCAGACATTTCCATAGTTCTCTCCACTGCACTGGACTCTTCTAACCACTCTCTTTCATTTGCCTTTACTCCATTGCCTTTTCAGATACAGAATTACCTGGAGTGAGTTGATCTCACTCTTTGCTGTTTCCCCATCTGTTCCTTAGCTGCTCCTTTTGTATAGGGCTAGATATGCAAACCAGTGCTTTCTCAAATGAGTATGTTCTGCAGGCAACTGTGACTCATGCCATGTTTTAACTGCCATTGGTAATTTCTCACCTAAAAAGATTTTGACACCAGCTCATACTGTTTGCAGGCTTTGGATCTGGGTCTATTTAATTCCTTACTATACGGACCTACAAAGATGTGCAGCAGGCACTCAACACAACCCCAACCACAAATCCCTAAGGCCATCTGTATTGTTCAACTGGGGAATAAGCAATAGGCCATGAGTGCAGGAGCAAAAGCATTTTACTATAAAACTATTTTAGAATCCCTGACAGTGAAAATTATTTTATTTGTACACAAATACATGTTAGATTGTGCATTCTATGTACACTCGATGATTCTTTTAAATTACAGTTCATCCTTTGGCAGGTGATAAAACTGGTTGTGGACTTGAATAGATCTCTCCACACCCATGGAGAAAACTGCTGAATTTAGGGGTTGGGATTCACTAATGGTAATACCCATGTATCTGTTTTAATTAAAGAATTGCAAAAGAAATGGCAATATTGGCATGTTTTTCTTATTAAGTGGAAATCTTACAAAAGTCAACAAAAGTACAATATGCAGGTGTACCTTCTGCCCTTTCACTCTTTACAAAGGATATGCTAGTGTTTGGTGCTTATCTGTACTGCTTTTGTTTTCACATGAAAGCAACTCCCATATCTCAGTCCCCAAACAAACAAGATTAGTTAATCACATGATCAATATTTCCAGTGGAGGAACTCCTTTCTTCACAACTTGATTCCAAACAGACTTGAAATGCTTTGGTAGTATTTTATCATCCTGCCATTCATTAGGCTGGGAAGGGAAAGACTTCTCTGACCCACAGGCAGAAAGGGTCTGACTAGGAATTTCTTTTCTCATAAAAATGCTTAATGGAGTCTTCTCCCTCCTAGAGGATTTATATCACCCATCGTATGGTGCGCTCTAGCTCCTTGAAAATTCCTTAAGGCTACTCTGAGGGTGTACTGTAAACAACCATCAAACACAACCAACCAAAAAAGTATTTTCTTATGATATTCTACAGAGTTCTGGTCTATAACCTCTTTGCACTTGACAAAATTTCTCTACATGATCATATTTACAGTTCCCATGACTTCAGCTGCCACTTATATGCTTTTAATCCCTAGTACATAACTTCACTTAAAACATTAGTTTTACAAATAAAAAAATGCCCAA